ATACAATAGTAAGAGAGAAACGACCATTATAACAAAGTACATCATTATGACAACACTATAGTTTTTTCATTAAATTAGAAGTTAAAGTTTCTTTAGATTAAAAATTATAATTCTCATACAGTTAATAATTATTTCTGTTTATATTGTAGTGCGATATTGATGTACATTCACTTACTTTAATAAATTGTGTTCTGTATTTACAGTCTTTTTATCAACTAATATTATTGCTTTTTTGGTTTGGAATAACTGAGAAAAATGTATAAATATACAATAATAAAATATTGTAAATGTTATATTACAAGGTTATGCTGTGGTTTTCTCCTACAAATAAACTTTAATTCAATAGTCAGTGAGAAAAGCAAAGATGCTTTTCTCCCTGCGTCATTATGATAACTTACTGCGATTTTTAATCATTATATTAAAAATTATAATTCTCATTCAGTTAGTAATCCTTTTTCTTTATATACTTAGTGCAATATTGTGCCACATTGATTTACTTTAATAAATTTTATCTTTTCTTTCAACAGAATTTCTACTTGATCCTCATATGTAGAACGTAAAATAAATATGCAATAATAAAACATTGGGTCATGTTTTCATAAGTTGATTATGATTAAGAAAGTTCTGTGAACGTTTTTGTTTGTTAAATAATATATGACATTGTCTAATTATATCGGATAAGCATATATTTAATATGTAATAATTATATATTTTATTTACAAATCAAATATTACAAAAAACTTTAAACTTTTCTTTATTTGATTTGTGTTTTTTTTTTTTTTTTTTTTTTTTCCATTTGTTGATGTTTTTTTTGCGTGTTGCCATTTGATTCCTGGTAGTCTGTGATTAAGTAAGTTTATTATTAGAAACAAATTGATAGTTGAAAGTTTTTTGTGTAGTAATAAAATAAATTTAGAGAAATAAATAAAATAAATGTTAGACACAACAGCAAAAAAACACCACCCACCCCCACACAAAAAAAAAAAAAAAAACAAAAAAAAAAAAAAAAAAAAAAAAAAAAAAAAAAAAAGAAAAAAAAAAATTTCGTGTATCCAAATGAACAATATAAAAGACGTAATAAATAAATCGAAAGGATACACAAAGTTAAAACATTGCGAAAACTGCGGAAGCAGTACACACAACACCAAACAGTGCCATAATAAAAAATAAAAAAAAAAAAAAAAAAAAAAAAAAAAAAAAAAAAAAAAAAAAAAAAAAAAAAAAAAAAAAAAAAAAAAAAAAAACAAACAAAAAAAAAAAAACAAACAAAAAAAAAACAAAAACAAAAAAAAAAACAAAAAAAAAAAAAAAAAAAAAACAAACAAAAAAAAAACAAACAAACAAAAAAAACAAAAAAACAAAAAAAACACAAACACAACCCCCAAACCCACAAACCAACCACCCCCACACCCCAACCCCCCACACAACCAACCCCACCCACAACCCCCCCCACACCCCCAACCCCCACGCACCCGCAACCCCGGGCCCCCCCCCGCGCGCGGCCCGCGCGGCGGGGACCGGGCGGGGCGCAGGCCCGCCGCGCGCCGGGCATAAGGCGATCAGCCTGCATTCTCATATGCACGGAGGGTCGCGCGTTCTAGTGTAGGACGCGTTGAGATGCCACGTTCGAAATTGGTAAGATACCTGCTGTACAAAGAGTATTAAAAAACTCTAAAATGAGAAAAATTTCGATTAAATTTAGTCACAGTTTCGAGGCTTTCTGAACTTCGCCAGGTTGGTCAAAATAATTTAGCTCAGAAATAAACGTCAGGTTTTAGTAGTAATTATAAATATAAAATGTATGCATATACATACATGAGTATAAATAAAAAATATCAAATATTATTACTACGAGTATGAAATTAACTCGTATCAATTAAAAATTGATGAAGTTTGTTTAATCAAAATGCATTAAATGATGTTGATATATATCAGTATACAATACAATAAACGTTTTTTACCATACATAAAAACCTTATAGTTGTATTATCATAGTTATATGTAAATATTTAGGTTTTAAGATTCTGTTTCTACCCACTACCACCCCAAACTATATACTTCACTTAGGAAAGGGTTTACCAACGCTGTTTGTCGACACAGTGCAAACACATTTCGTTTATGAACTTACAATTGACAAAGGCATATATTGTGCCAAAGATTGGGAAAATATATGTTTAGAACAGGGTCTTTCAATAACCAGTATTCGGAGTATGGATCCGCACAATAATATTACGACTTTATACGAACGGAGTGAACACGATTGCTTTATCGCGTATGTTAGGTCGGGATCTCATGACATATATCCACAGCTGCAATATGATATTTTGCATAATTTTTTATTACGAAAACACTCAGCACTTATCGAGCCTACTTTTTACATGTAAAGCTGAACTTCATGGTTCTTTGTGTAATCGTTTTGACATAGAAAATATATGTCATATTATTGACGTATGTTCGATTATCAGAGAACATGGACGTATTTTTTCCGATAAAGCACTTCTGTCTGAAGAAGAAGTTGAAGTCTTGTGATATGGTTGCAAAACTAATAACCTGTTTAAATTTATGAACAATGTTTTAAGTTTAATTATTGAATTATTAATTATTGAAGAAAATGTATATTTAATAATGTTAATAATATGCACCCCCTTTTGTAAGCCAATCTGATACACAACAAATATGTTATTTTTAATTTAGATTTTAAATTCTATAAATTTTGTAAGTGCTGTATAAATATCTTGAGTCAATAATAAAAAATAATAATATTTAGATTTTATATTAAGACTAAAATAGAAAATAAATTTTTGAAATATTGATCAAGTTAGATTAAATAAATATTTTTTGAAAATATTTTTATTTTTTTAAGTTGGTGTTCACACCAGATTAATAAGTTTTGAACTTTAAGTTGTTGTCAACGTAAAAATAAAAATTGATTCAATAAAATTAATATTTTTATTAGCGAATATCTAATATTTTTATTATGTTTGTGTATTCTGAAATGTTTCTTTTCATCGAAATTGTTATCTTTTTATTTTTCAAATTTAGTATAAAAGCATACGTAATTGAAGGTTACCTACTTTGTGATATTATTAAGTGAAGTTGATATGTCTGCAAATTTATTTAAGGTTAAATAATTTTTCTTTTCAATAAAAACTTATTTTATTTGTGTAACATTTGTTTTCTGTTCTTTTGTTATTTCTTCAATTGAGTTCCTTTCATTGAATAGCGAGCGATCAGCAATACAAGTTTTAATTGGAATTTTATGATTCATTGTCATTTGCTACATTTGCTTCAGTCATGTAAAAAATTTCAAAGACTCACCATGATCAGCAATTTCTCGTCACTGATTCAAAAATGCAGATACTGTATTTATAAATAGATCTTTTGTATATATCAATAAACTCAAAGAAATGGAAATTAGAAAAAATTTTTTATATTAAATGTGGAAACTAGCAATGTTGAGCTAAAGACAAAAAACTCTACTAATGGTTATGATGAAACGTGAGAGTAAATTTCAGTTCTTCTCAAACAAATGCACCCCAAACTTACATGATATGAATATAAATGGTATAATATTTAAAATAAATATATAGACTAACTATATATGGCCTACTGTCTTCCAAGCAGAAGTTCACGACATCGAGGTCTGAGCTCGTATCAACATTAACAATACATTGAAAGGCGCTCGAATCTGTCAAATAGCAAACATAGCATTATCCTCCTAGAAGTTGTCCTCAAAGCTTCTATTACACTACTATGAGACGCTGCAGCAGCTGGCAAGTAATAACAAAGTGACGCCTTGTTGGACGTTTGATCACACAGAAATCAATGGTAATGAATCTGCCGACAGTTTTGCGAAGGCAGGATCTGCCTCTCAAATCTATTGACCGGAACATTATTGTGGATTTAGTTGGCCTACAACTAAGTCCCTAATTGATGCAAGAATATCCGTAGATAAACCGGTAATGACTAAAATCGTATGAATTGACTAATGAAAAATTTTACTTCCTCTGCAATTACTTTTAAGCTAAAATTATGGTTTTCAAATACTAATTTCTTTACTTTATTGAAGTTTTCTACAGTCACAATTGTTTTTAGATCGTAAGTCTGGATGGCACCTTTTCAAGGCTTGGAACTTCTTATGCATTTAAGTATTTTTTGAACATATATAAACATTAAATTGCAAAACTAATATAAGATCACAGCATTTATACTGACATTACATAAAAAAAAAACAATTGTAAGCATGATATTTCATTTAATTAATTTTTTCGTAATATTTTGCCATTTAAATTTAAAATTTAACTGCAACTTTAATACACAACACTGATTCTTCTTGATTCTTGATTCTTCTTCTTGAGTTAGTGCTATTACGCACTTTTACTCTATAATGGCTGGGGGGCTTATCTCTTTCCCACACTAGGCTTTAACTAGGCTAAGAAATCAGATCATTTATTTGTCTTTTAGTTGATGACGAACCTTAAATCAGCATATCTCCCTGAGAGTCCAGAAGTGGACTTGAGGATTGTTATGGCAGGGTTAAGTGCGTATCAACTTTAGTGAATAATTTTAGAGCTCTGTCTCTGATATATTTTTTCACTGAGTCAATCCTAAGATCTCTATGTATGTCTGTTGATTTAATATACCATGGAATCTTAAACAGTCTTATTAAAGCCAGGTTTTGTGCTATCTGTAATTGCTTTATGATAGTATTTGAGGCTTTGCTATATGTAACACATCCATACAGTAGTGCTGGTCTAATTACTTGCATATAAAGTAACTTTCTGTTTTTAAAGTTGATTCTACATTTATTAAAGCCGCTATTTAATAATTAACACACCACTGATAAAATAAAATAAAATTTTTGGTTAATTTTTCTGGTTCTTACAAAAACAAACAGAACACACAGCAACCCTGTTCTTAACATTCACAAATACTGAAAACAAATCAAATAATATTTTATAAAAAAAAAAATATATACTTCATAAAATCGTGTCCGAAATTTTATATCTTTACTATAAATATTTTAATCAAATATATTTTCCTTTAGAAAAGGAAGCATGGAGAATGCAGAAGACGTACTTAATACCCACAAAATAATTGTGTTTGAGTTGCTATCAAATCTCACAAATAAATTCATTAAATTCAATCATCTGCGGATGGAATACTCGATAAAACTGTGTGATCTAAAGAATAAAACGCGTATGCTGATGTCTCAGTTTTCTGCGTCTCAAGATAATCCAATCAGTAACTTGGAGATTGAAATTCTTTCGAGAGTGACAGAAGATATTAAACGTCAGCACATTAAATTAAATGGATTTTATTCATTAAATATAAAGAAAGTTATACACAGTGCCAAAAAATCAGTATTAGAATTAATCGTGGAAAAAAAGAAATTGATAAAAATTTTTAATGAAATTATCTTCCATTTAAAACGTAATATTCTCCCTGACAGAAGACTCGATCCATTTCAATTTTATGTGAGACCTATAGTTGAAACACAGGTATGCTTTTTCATTAGTATAAGAAAAATGCACAAAACTGAAGAAAAACTCAAGCCGTTTTTTAAAATTTTAAACATGAATGGAATGAGGTTCATTTCTCCAAAAGGATGTTTACCACTTTGGTTGTATTCAAGTAATTTAATTAATTTTTTATATGTACTGAAACTTATGATTACCTATATTATATAGATCGTGGCATCGAGAACATGGACGATTTTATTGACTCTAGCTATGAGGCAACATGTAATTTTAGTGACTCATTTGATTTCAAAGATGGAGATAGTACTAGAGACAATATCAGTGATAATATGGATGATTAAAATTACCAAAAAAAATAGTTTTACATTTGATTGCATTTTTTGGTCGTCAATCTCAACAATATCTCAACAAATCTTAAATCTGAACAATATTTAAATAAAACTTATATCTGATATCATTATTTTTGTAAGTATGCAGTTTTCAAGCTAAAATTTTCATTATTTTCTTAATTTAAGTCGAAATATATTTCATATTCTTATTATTAATGCATTTTTGAATTCTTATAAAAAAATATATATTAAGTATGTAAGATTGTTGCAAATTTCTAAAAGACAATGGGCAATTCTCACAAAATTTTAAATATATAAAAAAGTATAAAATTTCAGAGAAATTATTAATATCTTCGGGGTTTAAAAAATTATTGTTATTTGAAACTATTTATATCATTTTTACCAATGGAATATACTACATATACATATATCCATTTTTATATATTGTACAGAGATGTTCTTTTTTATGGACGCAGTCAATTTTTGGCTAAGACATTATTTTATAATTAAATCTGACATTATTGGGCTATGTTTTTTCTTATCTACATTAAGACCGAAAAGTTTTCGGAAATTCTCATTTAAAATTCGCGCGCTGTATATTTTTCGATATTTTAAGTTTATGTAGTTTGGCAGCACTGTCCTTAATTACTATGCCAAAAATGAGCGCGATCTGTCAGACAGTTCGTTTTCGGCAGCTGTTGAAACCAGTTCACCTCAGTAGTGCGTTGCGAAAAAAACAATGGAAAAAAATATTGAACAAAGAGTTTGCATCAAATTTTGTGTTTCGAACGAAATTTCGTGTGCAGAATCGTTGCGAATGCTACAAAAGGCTTATGGGGAATCAGTTTTATCGAAAACTCAAGTTTATGAGTGGTACAAAGCCTTTCAGGACGGTCGTAAGACCGTCGAAGACATTTCGCAACGCACTACTGAGGTGAACTGGTTTCAACAGCTGCCGTAAACGAACTGTCTGACAGATCGCGCTCATTTTTGGCATAGTAATTAAGGACAGTGCTGCCAAACTACATAAACTTAAAATATCGAAAAATATACAGCGCGCGAATTTTAAATGAGAATTTCCGAAAACTTTTCAGTCTTAATGTATTTAATTTCTAAAGTAATGAACGGATTTATTGAAAAAATAATATATATATTTAAGTGATGTAAAAATGACTTAAGCTTCCTTGAAATCTAAATCTAAATCTCCAAGTCAAATTTCTGAGCTACTGAGGTAAATAGCCTCAAGCAAATACCATGCGAATGTTGACTTTTAAATGATACCAAAGTAGATGACTTCACCACATGCCACATGCTCTCATAAAGTGTATGATAATGTTATATCGGCATACCCCAACACCATCCCTTTCTAATTTCGGTTCTGTGTACGTCCATGGCACTCTGAGCTTCTTTTTCTTATATAAATGGGAATTATTACTAGAATGTTGTCAGGTGATAGCTAATAGCTTTTATAAAGCTTTTTGTTATTTTATACTTTTGTATTTAATGGTACTACCTCGAATAATACAGCTAATATTAATAGATTTTTAAATATCTAATATTAATCAATCTTTAATAGCTAATATTAAAGATTAATTGTGTGTATTAAGGATCTGTCTTACTGACGAATATAATTGCGAATAGATAGCATCGCTTTTATGTTTTCATTTATTTAAGGTTAAAGCATATTTAAATAAAACTATATATGTTGGAGGAGAGCATATAGTCTATGAATACATTCTTCTTCTTTTTTGCTTGATCCACTGTCATTAAAGTTCCATTCAATTCTGATAAGTTATTGGGATGATTTTACAGAATTATAGTTTGAAACCCAGTATATCTTACTGACGGAATATATATTGCATTGGATTTGAGAGAAAGCAATTATGAATTAATTTGTGCATCCACAGAACCGAACAATTTCAGCGCTCTGATATACTTTTGAGCACTTTTGTTTCTCAAGTCTTTGTATATATCTTCATTTTTGATATTCCACGCAGCTTTTAATATAGTTCTCAGTACAATATTCTGAAAATTTTTTGAAGGTTTTTAATGATGGATGTGGCAAAATGGGGTCATAAGTAAAGCAACTATGAACTCGCTAGGGTCTAATTATTTACTTATAAAGCTGAATTTATTTTTCACAATCAAATTTTTTTGTGTTTATAGTTTTAGAGTATTTAGGGTTATATTAGCTTCTTGAGCTTTATATTCTGTAACCAAGTCTAATCAAATCAATTAAAAATAAGACCTAAGTATTTTACATTGCCCTCCGAGTCCATGAAAGTTTGGTATATATGATATATGCTATGTGCTATATATTATATATTAGTATATATATATATATATATTATATATATATATATATATATTAGGGTGGCCGTTATTTACGAATGTTATTTACGAAGGACTCCTTTCCTTTTATTATATTTATTAATCTATTTTGTGCATATTATTCAAATCAAGTGTGGACAATTATATATAGTGAGGAAGTATTTGATTGTCTTCAAATATTATATTGTATCATTTTCTGTCCAAGAAACTGTGCTTTCGCTCATACATACTCGTATTTACTCCCATATTTATGCTGCTCTAGAAAGCTTCAATAAACATCGAGTATGATTTCTTATTTTAGTAATAATTTAGTTAATTGTGGACGAAATTGATTGATTTTTACCTTATTTGAAAGCTAATATGTTAAAGAATAATATAAATTGGTACAAATAGTCAAAGGGGAAAAATACGCGAGATGGGAGCGAAGAAATTTGAAAAAAGTGTAAAAATGGCATTTTCCGAAGTTTAAGGTCGATGAGCGACCTCTAAACATTATCCGATTAGCCTAAAACTTCACATTTAGTAGTTTTTTGAGTATTCGAATAAATTTAGGGGGTGGCATCTAGAATTCGAACACATTTTTTTGCCCCCATACATATTACGGCCACCCTAATATATATATATATATATATATATATATAGTATATATTACATTACATACTGCAATTTTCTAAAATTGCATCAAAACTTTAATGGCTTGCTTGCTAAGCTATTTTTGTGACTTAATCAAGTTTATGACTTAAACAAAATATTTGTCGACACTCCAGATATAATTTAGTTTTAGCAGTTTTCCAATAAAGCTACGGAAGTTCACATCTATTAACATTAAGCATTTGGTAACGTTTGAAGTCAATAAATTAGTTCAACTCTTATGCAATCTCTTTTTTTCTGTATCTTTGTTCGCAACTGTGAACTCATTTTTTTGGTTTATGACACATATTTTATGGATGCGCACTTTGAGCACAACTGCACTTGTATCTGCGAAATTGTACCCACATAGTTTAAAGGCTTTTCAGTTTGCGGCTGTTTAGATATGGAAAAACAATGCATGAGGAGATATTGTGTGGTACTTTCTAAATATTTTTGTTTTAGATGCAGGTAATTTTATAACTATGCCAGCCAAAAGTAACTAAGAAGTCAACTTTTGTTTATCGAAACGAAAATGAAAACGCAAGTATAAATGAAAATGAAAATGGAAATTATTTAAGACAATTATTTTGTAATATAAACGAAAACAAAACTCTATAAAATGATATTAAGATCGTTTAATTACTGCAGAGCATGGGAGGCAAGATTGGAATACAGCAGCTACTTTATGTAATTTGATATGTGAATATTAAATTATGTACACAAAAATGTGTAAAGATAGCTCGGCATAATAGCACAGCACAGCACATCACAGCACAGCAGCAAGAAAAATTACGTGATTTATCCCGTAGATACAAATTACTAACAAAATAACTAGCAACATTAGTAAGTAACCCCGCAGACCACGGCAACAAGTCCAACAAAAAAAAAATTCAACTTCACCAACAACAACAACAACAACCATAAAGAAGCAGCTTCCACAACAAATACAGAAAGTTAACAAAATACTAGTAACAATTTTTTGAAGCACATAAAAAAAATTACAATAAATTAAAGAAAAATAAAAAAAATATAAATAAATATAAATTAGAAAAGTAGCGAAAACTAACAAAAAAAAAAGTATACTTTTCAAAAAAAATTCGAAAAAAAAACTATGTAAATAAATGAAATTTTAACTGTTATATAAAATCATCAAAGTATCTTGGAAAAGTGCTTGATGAGAGAAAAAATTGTGCGTGCCTGCAGCTGAAAAAATTGTGTGATTTCAATTAAAACTTGAGCCATTTCAAAAAGTTTCAAAAATCCAAACAAAACACAGATTGAAAAATGCATATCAGATACAACATATACAACTAACATACTACTACTATATGCAATACTTTTCATTTTCACAGATGTGAAATTGCACTTCAAATCGAGTACAGCAAGTGCTGGCGAAGGGTACAAAGGCAGTAAATCAAATCAAATGAGCCACATCAACGCATCTTCTTAATTATCTAAGCAATTTGACCAACTTTTTACACTTAGATTGTTTGATGTTGGCATTGGTTAAGGCATTGGCTATGATAATGGCGTTGGCGACGTAGATGTCGTTGACGTCGTTACCATATTAAGATGCTGTTGTCAGCCAGACCAGACAACAACATCAACAACTGCTCCAACAGCAATCTCATGATGTAACAACTTAAAAATTGTACAACTGCAACACTTGCAACAACAGCAATGACAACAAATGAAGCAACCAAAAACATGAATGAAAAAAAAATCTAAATAACGATAAATTCATATAAAAATAATCAAACAGAAAATCATGCATTTTTCTATTTAATACCCATAAGGCAGCTGAATTATTCAATTATTCAAGCACATGACAAGTGATTTGTCTAATGCAGTGCGTATCTCATAGATGCGTATCGACTGCACAGATGCATTCAGCGCAGCTGTTTTCACGATATAAATTTTTTTCACTGGTATTGTGAATGTTTGTATTGGAATAATATTTTGGTGGAAAAAAAACAAAAACAAAAAGCTAAAAAAATTTTTCGAATACAGTAGTCGTTTAATATAACTAGCATATAAAATAACAAATTTCCAACTTAATGAATGACAATATTCAAGTACTAACTCTTCCACATATCATACGAGTATATATGAAAAGTTTTTGAAGGGAAAAGAATGAGACCTTAAAACATGTGGTAGAAGTTTGCCCAAA